ACACCCCCCCCCCCCCCCCCCCCCCAACTTAGAAGTTTAACTGTTAGTCCCTATGGAAAATAGATCCTGTTTTTCAGTTCCAATGCTACCCCAAAAATAGCCATAAACAAGGGGGAAACGGTATAAAGCAAGTGGCTTTGTTTCAAGCTACCAGTTGCAGTGAGTTCAGGTGTTGCTTGCAAAACCACAGGATTAAACAATCCTGATTGCTCAGAATAATAAAATATTACATTCCTTGAAGTGCCGAATGTTAACTTTCTTCCACTTCTTGGGAACAGCTGCCTTGCCAGCTCTGCTGCCTTTGTTGAAAGTTGTTTGTCATACTGAACAGAGATTCTTGGAAAAAATTATGCTGGGAGCAGAGGTATAGAACGTCACAGTCTGATTTTTTTCAAGAACTCAAGAGTTTTACAAAAACAAACGGTCTGTTCCTAGATGAGTACAAGAAGCAGTGTAGAATATTAAACATCAAGACAGCATCAATACTGAAAGCACAGGGCTCTTCCCCAACAAAAAGCACAGGGTGCTTCACAGTTCTCCAGTGCTGGTGAAGCAAATTCAGTAGTTAATGATGCAAGCCCCCGAAGAGATAAGGCTTGAGATTCCTTAATCATCAAATTGTGCTTGTGTATTACTGAAGTCCTCAGATTGTGGGTCAGCCTACACTGCAAGAGGTTAAATACAAAAGCTTTGAGGGGGGAGGTTAGAGATAGAATCTGCAGTTGAGCCAAACAATGCCAACAAAAACCCTCAAATACAGCTGCAGCCTTGAGCTCCACAGCCCCTACAGCTCTTTCTGCAGGACCAGGGAGGGTGAGAGCTACCGGAAAAAATGACCCAGTACACCTAGGCATTGTGCAAAAGTTTAACAAAGGGATGTTCCTCCAGGTGTGGAGAACAACTACCTGCAGAGCTGAAGAAGAGCTCATCCAACCCCGGCCATCTGACTGCTTCAAAGTATTATTTTCTCTAAGAAAAGAGTTACATTACTTCAAGAACACAAACAATGGCATTATGCACTTATGATTTCCATGAAGGCATTGAATTGGCGTTTCAACTATGTCTCCCCCTCTCCAATAAAACTGTACACTCACTTGCTCACTTTGGCACAGTGATTATATCCTGTAATACTGTGAGACCAATGTATTTTTTTGTTGTTGTCATGACAACTATGCTGTTAGGTCAGACCTAAAGCAGCAGCTGGCTTATCCAGCGCCAGACTCTGACAAGTACAGCTCAACTTTTTGTTTCCCTTCAAAATACATTGCCTATGTACCAAGATTTTAGTAGTTTTAATTTAAAGAGAGAGAATTGCAAACTGCAGCCATTTTGCTGCTTCCCAAGAAGCACTACTATCATGAGGCAGGTAGCAGAAGTAACACAAACACACATTCCTCCAGTAGCTCCAGTATTCCTCCAGGAACTCACATGACCTTAAGCATGCTGAAAATCTCGCTTCCGAGTAAATATGGGCATTAGCTGCTGGCATTAGTACACTATGTGTAGCTTAATGAAAGGGTGGCAAACGTAGCTAAAGCTAATGAAAGCTCTTACAGGATACCAGTCATGCCCAACAAAAATCTAAAACATTGTGCTCTACATTTACTCTCTTAAAATCAGATATATTTTCAAATTAAGAGCCTGAAAATAATAATAATATTGCTATGAAACACTGTCTGTAAGAATGAACTAGATTTAGCATAGCACAGGCAAGGAAAAGGGCAAGAATTTTACATAAACACATCTGAGTTCTGTCACTGTAGCCTTCTAGGCAGAGAGGTAATTACTACATTTTGCAAATTTTAGGTTCATATCCACTGCATCACTCACCCAAGATTTCAAATGCAACCGAGATGATGGAAGAGGAGGGAACAACAACTACAACAAAAAATCCATTTACAACTGAGATTTTTTCAGTCATTCATATTTTATACTGTCCTATTAAGTGTTAAAATGGACATTTAAGTAGTAAACAAAGTGTACAATGGTATCTTGAGAAGATCATTTGTTTAATAAAAACATTCATTTACAAGCTTCTGACAACACTATTACTCCACGCACACAGCGACTGAACCTTGCGGCCATGTGGCTGTGGCTGAGGGACCGAGCGCTGCAATGGTTTATTAAGGAGGAAAAACCCCCACGGTTCCACAGAGCATTCCCCACTCCAGGCTCCCCCCCACATTACATGGTAGTGCTCCAGAAGTGCTGAGACAAGACAGCCCAGAAAGCAAGGCTGCTAAGAATTTGGAGTTACCCTACCAAAAAGTAACTCGGTTGACAGTAGGAAGAAACTAAAAATGAAGATTATTAACTTTCTAACTAGGTATTAAGAGGAAGTCCAGTTTGCCTCAGAAAGTATAGCTCTTTTCAGTTCATACAGCTTATCATACTCAGCTATTCCCCATCTTTGATAACACTGACATTTCTGTAAGTTGTGTAAGTTACAAACCACTGTCACTACAAATACAGGTTATTTTGGAAAGCAACCTAAACAATTAGAAGTATTTATTGCAAACCAGCTTTTCTCTTCTACCATTTACAAGATGGTCAGTAAAAGTAAATGCACGTGAACAGAAAAACATTCATGAAACACAAACTGATTTAATTAAAAGGAAAACATACTGTAGGAATAAAAACTCCAGATACATAGACATTACTAATTATGAAGCTGTTGATGATCTTGGAAAAGCATTTGGGAATTCACAACCAAGTATTCAGCCTTGAATTCTGAGGGAGAGGGAGGGAACAACCATGACCTTCCAAGTCCTTCAGCACCACTGCACATAAAACTGTACTACTTGATATATTTTTCCATGAACTTTTTGTGAAATTCTGATCGCAGAGTATCATTCACGAATCTTTTGTCCTTTTTTGTTTCGTCTATCCCTTTGGCACAGTTCTTGAAGACAACATCATCATCCCATCTGAAAACAAAAGTTTTTAAATTCAGTAAATTTGCATGAAAATTAGGTGCAATTTACAAAAGTATATAAAGGAAGTTGTGCCCTGCTATTAAATGTACTAAAACCAGCTAGTCATTAGGATTAGCTTTTAGTCTTCAAGAAATAAAAAAAGATCTCTCTTTTTAATCCAAGCCATCTTCTACATGCTCCTGAGTCAGAACCGAGATGAGAATCAGTAGATTAAAGATTATTTTGTCTTTACAGAAAATAATGACCATTTGAACAGAGCAGAAAAAAACCTTTAATCTAACAGCCCTAATTTTGATAAATACACCATTAATTGGAGTATGTGCAAACAAGAATTGTATTCAGAAAAAGGATGTTATTTATTAATTCTAGTTATACTAAAAAACCTCAAAGAAACAAAACCCTAAACGAGCTAGGTTTTAGAGGGAAGCATAACATCACATTTCTTGAGAAACTTTGGTCCTGTTACTTTTTGTATCATTATGAACAGCATCAGACAAACACAATTCTGAATCTTTCTCTCTTTTTTTAAACACAAAGTAGCAAGATGATTTGTTCAGAGAAATGCACAAGACAATCACTACATGCATCAGTATCCCAATTCTACATTATACCGCTTGTATCCTGAGGAAGGAAATAAAAACCAATGGCAGTGATGACATTTTCAGTCATCAGTGTTGAGAGGGAGCAAGGGGATGGGTATCACAGTACAGACTGCACAGTACCTCCTTTTCACTTTGAAGTTTGCTTGAGGCTGTGCTTAGTGGGTTACCACTCAGAATGTTCTCCATTCGAATTCTTTCTTCTTCAGCCTTTTGCTCTTGTTCCTGAGAACCAGAAATGGATACATTACTTTTCTGGGCCATTTTTCTCATCTAGTTGGTCGAGATAAACATTATTTCGCTGCCAATGCCCACACAGAGCTTTAATTCCTTGCTCAGACTTTTTAGAGTATTTGACATGCATATGAGTAGAGTAAGAATAGAAGCAGAGATACTCTAAAGAGCTTAACATTGTTAATAAACTACCAATCTAGCAACACTCATATCTGCTCTATTTACCTCTGATGTTCCACCAAATATTCAGTTAGATTCTAGCTTTAGCATTTACATATTTATTACATTAAAAATTGTACACAGATTAAAAGAATTTTTTTAAATCCTCATGAGAAGAGAATACGTTATACAATACTCATTAGGTGGAAGAAATCTTACAGCATGTTGAAACTTCTCTATCATCTTCAGCAATGTGCTTAGGTTTTACAACTACAACTTCCTCAGTTAAAAAGAATATTGAGAAATTTAAGATGAAACTGAGCAGTACATGTCATAAGACCATTTAATAGTTCCAATATTAAGGAGCAGAAAAATTTTCTTCTCCTTGTACTGTCAAAAGCATGTAACTCAAGCCTAAGTGAAGCACTGCACTACAGGCAACACAAAGTAGATTTCACTGCCCACGCTTCCAAGCTCTATTAATATATTTAGTGACTTAAATGTTCACAGACTTCAAAATGAATACCGTAATATTCATTTTACATCAAGATATTATTCCACAACCTTTCAAATGCATTACAAGGAGTGCTCTTTGATGAAAGCACCAGAAGGAAAAAAAAAATTTCTTTAATTTGGATGACTAACTAGGTCTCCCGCTCCCTCTATGCTGAAGTGTGAACTGTAGACATTCTACTTAAAAAATGCACTGAAGTCTCATTAGCACTGCAGGAGACTCAAACCATGGCTTTTAAAAATCACATAAACTAAAGACAAAGATGTCAGAAGGTTGGTTGGTTTCTTCCAAACTACATAAAATTCATGGCTGAGGGCTGCTATGGGATCCCAAAAGAGGAAATGTTTTTCTTGATAACAGCATTTACAAGGTTTAAGTGCTAAACTTGAACACTGATGCTACCCAGAGTTCTCTAGCTTCAAACATTTAATCAATACTAAGTGATGCGTTACTAAAACTATCCACAATTTATAATGTTTTTCAGCTGGACTGATCAGGTACATGGAATACTCCTATAAAACACCTCAACCCTCTTAAGAACAATACCAACTTAACATACATATGAATACCAGATGATGCAGGATCACTGGTAAATATTTTACCTCTTAAAATCTACTCAAGTTTTAGTTATGAAAAAACATCTTCCATTACATTGCTTCTCACGAATAAAATCTAGAACCAGCTGCAATTAATTGCCAGTGGGATGGAAAAAGCTCCCCAAAAGGGCATATTGCTTAAAAGCATGGACACAGCCATGTAATGCCCTTATTAAAACACATATAGGCAAAAACTGCCCTTGCTGCTGTATCCATGGAGCTTTAACACAAACCGCAGCAGTTAAGTTATTAACACAAATCAACTAAAGTTTTGCATTTTCTAACATAGTTCTAAATCAAACGTCTGCATTCCAACTTCAGTTGTTATCACCACCTCACTAAATAAGGAAACACAGAGCAAAAATATTTGATATGGAACAGTAATTTCCCCCATATCAGAAATACAAATTATACATTTCTTTCCTCTGTGGATTACAGACAAGAAATGTATGCAGTTTATTCTTCACGGTATGCCAACCTCTGATTTACCATCTTCTTTCCTCATAACATGGAGGAACCAAAAGCAGTGAAATCCAATTTACCTGCAGTCTGTGTTGTGTTCCCACTGGATGCCAAGCAGCCCTGAGACTGCCATACAGCACATGCATGCAGAGCACTGATTTGAAAGCAAGCAGAATCTACGATACTGGTACAAGTGAAAAAAAAAACAGTATTGATTTTCAGGTTCGCCCTGAAAGATTATCAGATACTGCTTAAGCCCATTAGGCAAATTTACAACAGGATGCAAGGATGTGAAGCGTTCTCTCTGTTGTCCGAAATGAGGTGGGCTCTGCCTCATTAAATTTAATCTCTGACGTGCCATTAAAAGTGAGACTTTGAAAAAACAAGAGGTCTGGAGCAAAGCTTAAAAGCACATAAGATGCTACAAGCCAAAAATTCATACTGGACTATACTCAAGATAGAACTAAAAAAAACATTGTAAGAAATTAATACTCCCCTGTTGACAAATGCTTCTGTAGCGAGAACTTCTTCCAAGTCCTATATATGCAAACAGCCACAGCAGTTTTCCATTTTAGAGCTGAACTCCAGGGAAACTCTTCTCAAGGCGGCATGCAGAGCATGGCACAATCTCGCCCTCAGATTTCTAAGACATTAACCTCGGCCACGATCCAAAGTTACTGAACCTGCGCATCATGCACCACTTTATCTGGGGCACACATAACTAGCTTATGCTAGCTTTTTATTCCGCATGAAAACGTGGCCACACACCACTAACAAATACAGAACTACAATGCACTGCACACACAGTGTTTCTTTGATGGTCAAAAGTCCACTGGAGTCAGTCAGCACCTTTTGGGGGAAATTACAGTTGTTCTTCCCTCCCTTCCCCCATTTCACATTTAATCTCTACAGTTCCTACAAAGCTGATGGTTCCAGCATTCTCCACCATGCATGAAGAGGAGAGAAATGAAAAGCACTCAAACAGTCATTTGAATTGTAAACATTCAGAATCACTAGAGGAAGATAAAGCCAATATTAAAAATCATTAAAAAATAAGCATACAGTACTCTTGTGTTCTTATTACACACAGATGCACATTTAATTTTTCCACAATAAGATTTTAAAAAGGCATGTTAGGCATCATCCTAACTTTTATCTGTTTTACATAACCCATTTAATAGCCTTCAGCCTCAGTAAGTCTAACATAGTTTGCTTTCTGGTATCAAAGAAAGCATTATCAGACTCAAGTGATAAAATGTGGTGACAGAAAACAAAAAAAAAATATCAAAATAACACTTTCAAGAAGCCTTACACTAAAAGCAGTAGTATAAGACTAAGAGTAGGATTTAGCTCCAGATTAAGACACCTACATCTCAACATCTGCTTGTAGGCATCTGAGCTCACATCTCAGCTGAGGTCTAGAGAATACAATAAAAAGTCCGGACGGTTCTTCTGGTCATACTAAGTTACACACACAGGAGACCAACCATGCTCCAGGCTCTACTGCCTGCATCACCACTGCACCACCACGGAAGCTGGGATACAGAACTTGCAGAGCGAACCCAACAACTTGGCATTTCAAGCTCAACTGAATTCTGTCTCAAACAGTAGTAACAAACTGCATAAGCTTACCTTTGTCATTAAAAATCAACAGATTGAAGTCTGAAAGCAAACAGGGAACAGATCTGTTGAGTAAGGCATCGCCAGTTTTAGTCACTTTACAAAGAAAACCTGGTGCGCGTGGTAGTTTATTTATGGAATTCAGTCGTTCAAAGCTGTTCTAGCTTGGATGACATTTCAACACATTTGCTACAAATTTTAGGAAGCAAGCTAATTCTGAAGTTTAGTCTTGAAGATTTTTTGTATTATTTAGTTTCACTAAAACCTCCCAAAGAAGGTATTCAAGATTAAAAAAATAATTTACTAAATTTTTTATCTTAAGAGACGTGACATGGAAGAAATACTACGTGTACCTCACAGTGGTGTAGGGTCGACATGTACACTTAAGTGAAGCTATATATTTTGGCCAGAGCTGCAGAATCGCTCATCTCCAGCCAGAAGAGGTTTTCATTATGTTTCAGAATTTTCCACATAAATCTTCCACTGCCCACTCCTCCACTGAAAGCTGGGACACTCCAGGCGATGGAGCATGGGTTGTATCAAATCAAACAGACCAGACATAACCTTCATAGCTGTCTGAGCTTCACACCTCTGAGGCACGATCAAGCACAGCTGTTCACAAAATGAGCAGCTCTGGTTGCTCCAAAGCCTACATCGCTCTTTTGTGTGGTGGAACAAAGGCTTATTAAGCTAAAACACTATGGATACAACAAACCCACAAGAGAAGAAAAGCCTAAGGGGGAAAATAATACATCTGTATTCACCCTTTCTAAAATAATGCCTCTTCCCCTGCCTTTCCATTCAGCAAGAGGAGGTATACAACCCTTTTACTAAGCCATTTTAGCAAAAAGACATGCTACAGACTATTCCATCACTACAGACAGCAGCGCTGTGCTTTTCAATGGCAGCATATTACACCCACTATCCGCAGAGATGAATCAGACACCAACCATGTTGTAACCACCACGTTAGAGGCAGAGGCAGCAGAACAGGAATATTATGGTGTGGGGAGTAAGACTGGACTGGCAGAGAGAGTCCTGTACCCCAAGGAGGCAAATTGAGATGCTGCTATGTGAATCAGATCCCACAGCAAGCCTTCACCGTACAACTGAACTCACTATGTGACATCACAGCTGGGGGCAGCGGGGGGGGGAAGCAGACAGAACTATATTAACTTTAACTAAACAATTATTCCTTATCTTGCTGTAAGAATAACAGTCCCTTGACATATTTGTTTCTGACTGCAAAGGAAAGAAAAACATTGTTGTTACCATGGTTATTTTTTTTTAGTATAGTTCCTACCCTTAGCACAGAGCAAGATTACTTTTACAGAAAGTGCTGAAATTCCTGAAATGACTCCATTGTATTAAAGTAAGTTATCCTACTCAGTTTTTATTGATATTGAAAGAAAACCTGAAATACCCCCATTTCGTTGAAGGCTGAAAAAAAAAAACCAACCCAAAACCCCAAACCCCAAAACACATAACCTTATTTAAAACCTAATTTTTGAATGACAAACTATGACAGCACTGCCTTTAGAAGCAGGGAGCAAAACTTAGTAACACAGAGATCCACCCCAGTTATTTGATCCTATGCAAATTACTAACTCTATGCAATACAGCGATTCAAGTAACCAATTCAAACTTCAAAAAATAAGAGTACAGAGCAATCACAACTGCAGCGCCTATACACAGATTTCTTGTCATTTCGACCACAAGAGAGCAGATGTTATCGTTCATTCTTGGCAAGGGTGAGTATTGCTAGCATGTCTAAACATTTAATGAAGAAACACACTGCCATCTGCTTTTGCCTCTTTACTGAAATTCCTTCTTAATCACCGATTTGATATTCTAGTTTTAGTTAGACCCTTAAAATTTAAGTGAAAAGGTTAATATCCATCAAGATTCATTATCTAATGTTTTATCTGAAAGTCTGTGACATGGCTAAAACACAGGACAGAGCTACTTTGACCATTATTAAAGTAATATATTCAGTGATAGAGAAACACTTGGTGAAATAAAAAACTGTTAAGAAAACAAACCAAAAAACTTTCACTCTTCTCAGATCAGCATAAAATGACTGGATGTTAAAACAGCTTTGCTGGAAATGCACACGTACATTCAGCTGCTCACTGGTTTGAGGTTTGTTTTTAATTATTTCAATTTACCTTTTAAGGAAGTGCTTGAAAATTGAAAATCAAGAGCATCAAAATGCTGAATTTGGAATATTGAAATGTTTCCATGAAACCTATCCGTGGATAGTTCACACTATCAGCAGACAGCAGACCTAGCGTTTGTACAGTTTTAGACAGACCCAGAATTATTCCGCAGAAATGGCTTTCAAAACTAAAATCTCCCAGTCAGCTTAGCGTTTACCAGCAACAACCTGAGAGATTAAAATTGTGGAGGGCGTGAGAAGAGTCAGGCAGACTCCCATGCTCTATCAGTTTCTTTAAGACACTGATAGTATGTATTTAATGTTGCTACAGAATTCAAGGGAATTTATGCATTTTGAGAAGTTAGCAAGCTTTGACAGGGATTGCTTATTTGGTTGACAAACTATTTGCTTCACAGATTACAGGGAAATATCAGTGTGAAGGAAGTTACAACCTTTTAATACTAATATTTGTCAAAATTAGATTTAGAGGATTTCTATGGGAATTGGTATTACCACATAAGGGAAGTTAACAGAGAGCATGATGATCTGAAAAAAAAAAGTAGATTTTCATCTGTTGTTTTTAACCACTATCTCACCAGAGATGCATTTTAAAAGGAGCAATCCTCCTTTCATGGGAACTTAAATACTGGACACCAAAGCAATGAGTGAAAACAGTTAACAAAAATACAGTTTACTTTAAAGGAAGTCTCAGAAATAATTGGACTAGCATTTTAATAAATCAAAATAATTGAAGTATCAGGGAAAAAAAGTCCATATGGCACAAATTTGGGATATATTACTGTATTTTACCCACTATTTATCCTGTTAAGACCCTGGCATGTTCCAAGAAGATGCAGAGACATGTTAATCTGTCTGTATAACACCACAGAGATTTGAGAACGATGTGCAGAAGAGTGACCAGACATTCACTCTGCAGTTTCCCTTTGCCTTGCCACTGGTTTACCCATGCTGCCTACTACGGACACCAGCATTTCAGCAGATAAACCATCCCTGTATGTGGGTCAGGACTAACAGCAACTACAAAATTAAGAATTTACATGAGATGTTATCCTGAAGTCAGCTGGATGACTAATATAAGGCTACCTACAAAATTAGGTTTAAATTACGGTTTGCAATACATAATAATATGAAGTCCCACCTATCTGAAGGGAAAAGGGATTTATATAAAATTGTTATAAAATGCTTTGCCAGTAATGCCTTATTTCAAAGCCATGGGAAACAAGGCATAATCTAAACAGACAGCACCCCTAAAGCCAATATACATAAGTAATATTTTCTAAGGA